GGAGTGGGTTGAATGTATTCTCCGAACCGAAACGAAAAAAACCAACCGAAAACCGAACCGAACGGGAAGTACCGCGATACAGTTGAATCGCTTAATTGTTACACCCCTAGTAGTAACAGCATCTACGTGTATTGCTAATGTAGTGTGTGATGTACGTGTGATACTCTGCAGTAACAGCATCTACGTGTATTGCCTAAATGTAGTGCTTGTGATGTCGTGTGATCTCTGTTTTTTTTTTCGCAGTAACAGCATCTATCGTGTATTGCTAATGTAGTGTTGTGTGATGTACGTGTGATCTCTGCATAACAGGCATCTACGTGTATTGCTAACTGTAGTCGTGTGCTGATGTACGCTGTGCATCTGCTGCCCAAGTAACAGCATCTGACTATATTGCTAAATGTGTGTGTGTGAATGTACGTGTGATCTCTGCAGTAACGCCATCTACGTTATTGCTAATGCTAGTGTGTGTGATGTACGCTGTGATTCTCTGCTAGCTAACAGCATCTACCGTGTATTGCTAAATGAGTGTGGTTGATGTACGTGTGATCTCTGTCAGTAACAGGCATCATACGTGTATTGCCTAATTTAGTGTGTGTGATGTACGTGTGATCTCTGCAGTAACAGGCTCTACGTGTATTGCTAATGTAGTGTGTGTGATGATAGCGTGTGATCTCTGCAGTAACAGCATCTACGTGTTTGGCTAATGTAGTGTGTTGGATGTTACGTGTGATGCTCTTGCAGCTAACAGCATATCTACGTGTATTGCTAATGTAGTGTGTGTGATGTAGCGTGTGATCTCCTGATAGTAACAGCATCTACGTGTAATTGCTAATGTAGTGTGTGGTATGCTAGCGTGTGATCTCTGTCAGTAACAGCATCTACGTGTATTGCTAATGTAGTGTGGTGATGTACGTGTGATCTCTGCGTAACAGCATCTACGTGTATTGCTAATGTAGTGTGTGTGATGTACGTGTGATCTCTGCAGTAACAGCATCTACGTGTATTGCTAATTAGTGTGTGTGATGTACGTCTGATCTCTGGAGTACACAGCCATCTAACGTGTAGTGCTAAGTGTAGTGTGTGTGATGTAACGTGTGATCTCTTGAGTAAACAGCATCTACGGTATTGCTAATTGTGTGTGTGGATGTACGTGTGATCTCTGCAGTAACAGCATCTAGTGTATTGCTAATGTAGTGTGTGTGATGTACGTGTGAGATCTCTGCAGTAACAGCATCTACGTGGGCGTCGACGTCGCACGTTCTGGTGGCTCGTCCCGTGCCCGTCAAGGACCAGGTGAAGCAGCTCGTCCAGCAGAAGCAGTTTGAACTCGCCCTGCAGCTCGTGGTGCGTACTGTCGTAAATTACAATTTGAATAATAGTCTATTCAACATACTGTAAAATCCAATTTTCGTGGATTTTGTGTGTCCATCAATCCACGAATTTATGTAGCCAACGAAATATTATGTACATATGTCAATTGCCAGTTCTGGAGTGGAGGTCCTCAGACCGACGCCTGCCGTCTGTGCATACTAGTAATATATACTATCAACAACCTCGACATCATGCTCGTGTATAATGTACACATGTAAACAATGTTCAGTGTGCGATTCATACTACAGCGTTATTTTAATTGTTTTTTTTTCAAGTTAAAATGGAAAGAATTAAATCAATCTTCCTGAGTAATATGTTTTATCAATTTATATAAGTATTACCGCATGCACGCTGTCATTAACGGCAGCGTACGAGTCAGGTTAGTAATCTGTTTTGTTGCATTATTGTTTTTGATAAAAAAAATTTCTTGAAGGCTTGATCACAATTTTAAGAACCCACGAACATGTATTTTTTTATTGAAACCACGAAATAAGTGACTTTATAGTATTATGTTGCTATATACACGATATATGCTACCTTATCAGAATATGTAGACCATGTTTAGCGTATGGCGTATGGAGTGGTCTGGTGACGTATTAGCATGTGGTGTGGGCAGCGATAAGAGAGAGTGAGAGACCGGGTGGCGACGGAACGAGAGCAGATAATGTACGGAATGTCGAGATAGCATTGTTGAGTGAATAAATTGTCGAGTGAATAGTTGTCGAGTGGGTAGATTGTCGAGTATATAGATTGTAGACTGGATCGTCGTGTATAGAGAACCGGCACAGGCGAGTCTGGCACAAAGGTTGCATAATAGAATTTTGTAACACGTACTACAGACGATGTGCCACGGACCGTTGCTAACTAGAGACTGCGTTCTGGGGGGATCCAGAGGACGGTGATGACACAAAAGATGGGCAATGTCCAGGCGGTCAGGACTCGCTTGTATTCCTGACTTTGGAACTAATTTATCCAGTGATAAGAAATATTTTCTCTACTTAAAATACACCAAAGTATTAATATTGATAAATTATCATCAAACTTGGCATCTTTCTCTAAGAAAAAATCATGTAAGAGTTCGTTCTCCAAGCCACACCTTTACTCGCACGCCGGCTCAGTGTGGCAATAACTCCCATTCAGATTGTCTGGATTGTGATTGGCAGGAGCTGTCTGATGAGGTGGCAAGAGGAGAAGAAGGAGAGGATACAATCAGATACAGACTGCTGTTCGCCTTCAATCTGTTCTATCAGGCATCGAATTTCAAGCGAATCCCATGGGATTTTCTGTTCATACAGCTGGACACAGGTATTGGAGCGTCCTCTCCTTAATGAATGTAGTGCTAGTGCTGAAGCGTAAGCATACTGGGTTCAAAGGTCGCCAGACTGTATTTAATTTTACGATCAAGAAAATTATTGGCAGAAGCAATGCAATTAGTAATGCCTCATGCTAATTAAACCTGTGCACCTGGAGCAAGATGACTGACGTCTTATTGATAAACTGTTGCTAGCGTCAATCTTGCTATACCCGTTTATACGTGATGTCCACATGTGCATGTCAAAATATTGCCTTTGGCAGTATTTTGTTATTAAACATATTGCTTAGAAGACCTTATCGGCAATGCTGATTGATTTTGAACAGCCTCTCGATCATGCCAGAGTGGCATGGGTAAATTCACCATCTAACTGGCTGTTAGGGCGCTTTTTACTAGTCTTGATTATTTTCTATTCTGTTGCAGAATCCGTCTCATGTTATCCGGCTCTTCCAAGGCCTGCTACCTTCCAGACTTCAGGAAGTCAGCTGGAAGCTATCCTGAAAAGCTTCCTGACATTGCGCGGAGCCGACGGCTGTGAGAATGGCATTGTAGCTTAATAGAGAGTAACCTCACACAGGTTGTGTTAAATAAACTGGTGTGCACACAGGTGTGATAGTAAGGGACTTCACACAGGTGGCCATTTGATAGTTAGTAGAGCTACCTATGACATCAGGTGTGTTACGTTAAGTGTCGCTATCCACCTGCTGGCTAGTGAGCACCTTATATCACCGATGCTAATTTAATAGTATCTAGATACTTCTTAATTACTGATTGCTAAAAAAAAATCCAAGCCTGTTATTAAATTGTACGCGATCACCTCTGATATGAACACTTGACCACGTGTGAATGTTAATCCTACATATAAACAAATTCAACAAGTATTTACATCTAATTTGCAGTCCGGCTATGCTTCTGGGAGGTGTATGTCGCGATTTGAACATTCATCACAAACCGGAAGCCCTTGTAATCCATGTTGCGGGCGTACGCCATGGAGCCTAGTAATATGGATATGACAAAGCAGGTTCAGTTCTCCCAGTGCGACCATAAAGAGGGCGCCGCTACAGTGAAGGGCTGTCTCAGCGGCAGCAGCCTGCCAGATTATCGACACGACATTGCTCAAGTGCTACCTACAGGTAAAATTATGGGCGTTTGCGCGCTTTACGGTCCAATACGCCCGGGTTGCCTGCTGGTTGTTTTCAAGTTCTAACTAGCTAGGATGGAATCTTTCTGGCGGCGATCGCGGAATATCCCAGCGGATTCTCACAGTGCCAGGGATCGATTTTGTGAACACGTGTAAATCCGTCTGAGAAAATTTTAGGGTTGGTTAGAATGTAGCAACATTTTCATTTTACAGTTCGCAACAGTAACTTTCATAATAACATTGTAATTACAGCAAATTGTAAATAATACAGCAGGCTGCTAACATGTAATCCGCATTATGCAATGATAGCATATTTGAAAGCGCCAGCATAAATGGTGATGTGTATTTATCATTGTATACAGCGAACACAGCACAATGCGTCTAGGACAATACGCCTGTCTGGCAGTGTAAGTACTTGTGGAGGCCGTATGAATAAAATGATGAGGCCTTGTATACCACGGCTTGTTGAGTGTGGCCAAAATAAATCAAAACGGAATTCATTCGAGTCAGTGTATTTCATGCATTTGATCCACTATTATATGGTGAGATTAATGAGAGGCGGACACATCTAACCATAGCGGTCGACAAGATGCTTGAGGAAGCAAGTTTCGCGTGGCGCTGTGGTTAGAAAAATCTGTCAGCACTGAGTGCTCAAAATCGGGAAGCGAAAACTGATAGAGGTGACGGCGAGCGGGTTGAACGACTATGCTCGGGAAAGTGCCCCGATGATAGCTGCAAGGGCATGTTTGTACTGGCAGTGAATTTGAAAAACTGCCTGCGACAATGAACATCTTATATTATATATATGCGTTCAGCCTCATGGGACTCGTGTGGAAAGCTGTACATTAAAATAATTTTGTTTGCAGAATGTAAGCTTAAATTTTTGTATTGAATTATTTTTAATTCTGGCTGATTATGGATAATGCCAGTGCATAGCATATACTCCTGCAGTGTACTGTATATGTTCTGCTAACAATTCTGATTCTGTATGTGTCTTCTAAATGCAATTTTATGCCTTGTTGTTGTTGAAAATTCAAAAAATACTTCCTTGAACCCTACCAGGCTTTTCCGCCCTGCGACCTGACCGCCCCCCCCTGCTTACCCTTTTCCCCCCCCCCCCCGCTAGGACCCCAGCCCCTATTTTCAGCCTGAAAAACAACAAATTGTCATTCCCATCCCTGCACCTAACTATGTACTTTGAGCCATCAAGTAATTTTTTAGCCTCCATAGAAAGATGAAGGCTGTTACCCACCGCTGTCAGTGTGTGCCCCGAATGCAACATCTTTGGCTGGTTTATTCACCGTTGAAAAATGCACCGTCTGACGTCGTAAACTTGCTGCACCGCTTCTATCTAGGGGCTGGTAGCTTAACCCTGTCAGTCGGTCATTAACTTTTTGAAAGATGCTCAGTGAGAATCTTAGCTCATCCCTAGATAAACAACTACATGGCAATATCATCACAACATTCAGCTGAGGAAAATCAATACAAGCGAAGCCCGATTCCTAGCGGTTCGTGTTTGCTTAAAGGCCATACCTCACTATGCTAGCTATGAGGATGCTAGATTACTCGTTACAGCTATATTGTTGTGCGGAAAGTACGTCACACTGCCACTAGCCAGCTAATGATTTATCACTACTTATAAGCGTATACTTGCTATTGCTGACAAACGATGCGCGCTATTGCTGCCGCCTGTCTACGACTGCGCGACAACCACTGCCCCTGGATGAGAGCGAGAGAGTGTCTGAGACAACATTCAGAGAGCTTCAGCGAACTCATTCATCCTGTACCAGTAGGAAGATCTCAAACGATGTACGCAGCGCCGGTGAGAAGTTCGCCGTCAAATCATAGTCGGAGAGAAATAGTCGGCTAGTGTGTGTAACAGTGCTGCTGTCAATATTTGCTAAAGCTGTACTTGCACTGTCTGCACTGGTTTTGCCATTTGTCATAAGATAAGTGTTTGCAGATCCGTCTCATGTTATCGGCCTCTTCCCAGGCCTGCTACCTCCAGACTTCAGGAGTCAGCTGGAGTATCCTGAAAAGCTTCCTGAATTGGCGGGAGCCGACCTGGAGAATGGCTTTGTAGCTTTAATAGAGTACCTCACACAGGTGTGTTAATAAACTGTGTGCACACAGGTGTGATAGTAGGGACTTCACACAGGTGTAATAGCTAGCCTTGTGCACTGGTGTGATAGTAGATACATTACACGGGTGGCAGTTGTGTTAGTGAGTACCTATGACATCAGGTGTGTACGTAAGTGTCGTACACCTGTGCTAGTGAGCACCTTATATCACCATGCTAATTTAATAGTCATCTAGATACTTCTATACTGATCTAAAAAAAAATCCAAGCTGTTATTAAATTGTACGGATCACCTCTATATGAACACTTGCACGTGTGAATGTTATCTACATATAAACAAATTCAACAAGTAGTTTACATCTAATTTGCAGTCGGCTATGTTCTGGGTAGGTGTATGTCGGATTTGAACATTCATTCACACCGGAAGCCCTTGTAATCCATGTTGCGCAGGTACGCATGGAGCTAGTAAAGGATATGACAAAGCAGGTTCAGTTCTCCAGTGCGACCATAGAGGGCGCCGCTACAGTGAAGCTGTCTCAGCGGCAGCAGCTGCAGATTATCGACACGACATTGCTCAAGTGCTACCTACAGGTAAACTTATGGCGTTGCGCGCTTTACGTCCATATACCCGGGGTTGCTGCTGGTTGTTTTCAAGTTCTAGCTAGTACTTGAGCCATCAAAGTAATTTTTTAGCTTCTAATAGAAAGATGAAGCTGTTACCCACCGTGTCGTGTGTGCAAACCCGAATGCAACATCTTTGGCTGGTTTATTCACGTGAAAATGCACGTCTGACGTGTAAATTGCTGTCACCGCTTCTATCTAGGGGGAGACTTAACCTGTCAGTCGGTCATTAACTTTGAAAGATGCCTCGTGAGAATTAGCTCATCCTGATAACAATACATGGCCATATCATCACAAATTCAGCTGAGAAAATCAATACAAGCGAAGCATTCCCTAGGGTTGTTTGTAAAGGATACCTTACACCTATGCTAGCTAGGAGGATGCTAGATTACTGTTACAGCTATTTGTGTGGGAAAGATACGTCACACCTGCACTAGCAGGCATAATGATTTATCACTATTATAAGCTATACTTGCTATTGCAGACGAACGATGCGCTTATTGCTCCGCTGTTACGACTGCGCGACAACCACTGCCACCTGGATGAGAGCGAGAGAGTGCTGAAGAAACATCAGAAGTTCAGCGAACTCATCATCCTGTACCAGAGGAAGAATCTTCACAAACGAGGTGAGAAGTCGCCGTCAAAATCAAGGGAGAAATAGTCGCAGGTTGTAACAGTGCTGCTGTCAATATTTGCTAAAGTGTACTTGCGCGCATCGACTGTTTTGCATTTGTCATAAGATAGAAAACTTTTCAGATTCTTTCTTCTCAAAGACAGCTTTTCGTTTTGAAAAACCATGTGATGGTTATCATTAGGTAGTATAATTAAATAAAACCAAAATATGATAATAAATAAAAAATATAAAGTATAATTTTAAAAAGTAACTAATAAATAATGTTTGTACCAACTAATATGTATTTCATAGCCTAGCTTCACTGGTACAGGGGATATAGTCATTTATAATATATATATATGCAAAGCTAACGGATCGCTTTTTGAAACTGTATTTTCAGAAATAATTTGGGATACATCTCGTAGTTATTGATCTTACATTATACAGTGAAATCCGATGATATCACTCCAAGAGATACTTAACCAATATTATAAGCAAACGTGTCGATGACCACTGATACATAAATATTGTTACGCAGCTCTGGATCTGCTGCTAAAACAAGCCATGAAGCCAGACTCCGCTCTGAAGGGACACGAGAGGACCGTACAGTATTTACAGCATCTCGGCAGAGATCACCTGCCTCTGATATTCGAGTTCTCTAGCTGGGTGCTGAAAGCTCATCCAGAAGATGGCCTTAAGGTAATGCTGTCCGTGCAAAGTGTATGAAAATATTTTGCATATATAACAAAAAATAGTCTGTGCATAGAAACTTGGGTATTCCTCCCCAATGCAGAAGATAAATTTGTTTATAAGCTTCTCAAATGCTCTTGCAAAGCATACGCTATGTAAATGTTCATTCGAGTAGCGTGTAAGTGAATTTGTCAGAGCGTGTGCGATGTAGGGTACGCAAGCAAGAACGGTTAGTTTTGTTGGCGACATTGCTGGTGCTGGCTGCATGTTATCGTAGCTGAAATACGTGCCAACTGTCTGTGGAAATTGCAGATTTATTATGCAGTGAAAAAAGGGGAACTAGATGTATTAAGATAAAAGCTGGAGCAGGATGAAGCTTCTTATGGCTGCACTGATAGTATTGATTGGTCGGGGTAGTGATTAGAGAAAGAGAAGCTCTAATGAGGCGAGGATCCTCTTTATGTACAGTGGCATCAACAAACCAGTGTAAACGTAGAGTTCTTAATGACCGAGGCTCGTGTAGTTTTAATTAGTGGCATGGCATACATTCCTCTCTGCAGTACTCTGTATTAATTTCTTTGATCTCGGTTCTGTCATCTTCTCGTGATATAAAATACAATTTTCTGAACTCATACCTGCTTCTATGTAAAAGAATAAAAATATGAAGGGTTATGCTCATGAAATATGCTCGTGTGTGCAGATTTTCACCGATGACCTTCCAGAAGTGGAACTTTTACCACGGGATAAAATTCTACAGTACCTACAACAACACTTCCCTGATCTAGTCATTCCATACCTGGTAAGCTCGTTTTGCAAAAGAAACCACTGATTAGCCGAAATCTAGCACTGTAACAGCCTAAGAATACATTAACGATCGCAGTGGTAACTTTACGTTTTATTATATTAATACACACGTGTGTAATTAGTTTCGTGCCCTCCAATATGCACTAGCTACTAGTAATATTATAGGGTATTTTTTTGTACTATACTTACATTTATATAATTCTGTGTGCTACGCAATATGCAATATGCCCGCTGTGGCAACACGCAGGGCAGTAAATTCCGCCTCTCTTCACGCTCACCTACATTAATTGCCGAACATCATAGCCAATTATTGTGCACTCCTACGGGAGTTGTCAAGTGGAAGCAAATTGGCAGCTAATTGGTTAGCGGGTGATGTGCGTTGGCAGGAGCACGTGGTGCTGGAGTGGGACGACACGTCGCCGCACTACCACAACTCTCTCGTGAATCACTACAGGCAGCGGGTGCAGGCACTGACGGCAGACTACCTGGACTCTCTACCCGAGGGTATGAAGTGTGCGTGGTGTGTGCGCGAGTGTGCATTTGTGCGCATATGTATGCAGGCGCATGTGTTTGTGCATGTATGCATGCATCCGTGTGTGTGCATGTGCGCGTACGTGTGCATGTGCGCGTACGTGTGCACGCGCGTGTATTTGATGTATGCATGTACTTGTGCGTCTGTGCGTGTATAGCTCACTTATACTCACTCAAATTCGCTATAATAAAATCATTTTCTTCTCAAGAATTATGATATTTTTTCACAGTATTTCACACAGTTCAGTATTAAAGTTCTGCATCTTCACACAGTTTTTCACACAGCTCAGTGTTAAAGTTCCGCATCTTCACACAGTTCTTTCATGGTCCAGTGTCAGAATCCCGCGTCTTCCGCAGGTCAGCTTCCGAGGCCGCATGGCATGGAACCGGGAGAGCTTGGCGAACTTCGCAACAAACTCGTTTTCTTCCTGGAGTCGTCAACGCACTACGTCGCTCAGGCCGTTCTCGTCCATTTTCCCTTCGACGGTAAGCGACGCCTTAGCGATTTAACGTGCCACCATTCCAGAGTGTCTCGGGTACACACTCTATCCTGACTCCCCCCAACTCAAAGCTGCCAGTTCCAGAGATTGCCGTACGTTGTTCTCCCACATAAATTGGGAAACCATTCAAATTCGCTCTACATCGGAGGGTTCACTAGAGCAACGCATAGAAGCCGTTTCCGAAGAGATGACGGTTTCACGTCAGCAAATTGTGTGTTAAGCGACTCGGGTGCCGCGACGCTATTTCACCACACTCGTTAACAGCCCCAGCTGTTGTTATAATTGCTGCGTCGTTAGAAGGTATCCCATCTCATTCCGTCGCCATTCCGAGAGGTGAGACTCACCGACCCGGTACAGCGCGTCTTGCTCGGGGATGGTGCGATCGACACACGCGACCTCATGCCGTGGCGGGCGAGGATGTTCACATGTTTTTTAACGCGTCGCTTGTTTTCCAGCGTTCTTCGAGGAGCGGGCGATCCTGCTCGGGAGGCTGGGTCGACACGAGCAGGCTCTCGCTATCTACATCTACGTGATCTGTGACCTTGCCAAGGCAGAAGAGTAAGTGGTGCAGCAATGTAGTACGGCCCGTTCTCGCGGCAGTTCCTGGAGTATACCTTCTTTATTACATCTGCACTGTATCCATAATTTATACTGCACGAAATAAAACCAGTCGTAATGATCATTATTACATGGTAATGGTTGTCTATCTAATCTCTTCATGATGATAGAGGAAATTGCTCAAACTTGACAGTCGTAGTGATGGATGATGTAAGAATACTTGTATATGCTTTTTTATTTTGTTTTCAGGTATTGTAGAAGAAATTATAGCAAGACAAAAGATAGCAGCAAAGATGTAAAGACATAATATCTTCGTTTACGTTTAGTTACTACCTCTAAGAGTACCTAAAGGCTATAAACTCTAGAATAGACCTTCCGATTCCTGTAATGGGGTGCAAGATTATATGATGCCAGTTAAAATCCTCATTACGGTTTCTTCCTCGCAGTCGGGCACATTTTCGCATTCGCACAGACAGCGCACAGTAACGGACTGCACTTACGTGTTCGCACGTCCTAACGGTCGATCGTTGGGTAGTAACGAGTGTTCTACCCTTCTTCGCTGGTTGCAGGTGTTCCTGACGATGTTCAAGATCTTGGTCGTTCCTCCTGATCCGACGATGATTGGCGTGATGCTTCCGCAGCTTCCAAATCCCGAGCCGCAGCCGGTGATGGCGCTCGAGCTTCTCCGTCTCCATGCCAACAAGATCGACACCATCAAGGTATTCTTTAACGATGTCGCGCCTGGAATCTTGCGTGTGCAAACACCATGTACCGTTAACCCCCCCTCCTTCGCCTCACCCCAGCCTGCAGTGGTCTTACCCTCACATTCTCACTTACACTCAAGGGTGGGGTCAGCTTCGTAAAGTGCACGAAATTTCCACTGAAGTCGTGTGGCTTTTTAAACAGGAATGATTGTGGTAGGGGCAATGTATTTGTACACTGTATACACTGTTTGTTGCAGCCATGGCCGCAAAATGCCCCTGACTTTAGAGGCAGCGGATTTTTGTACGTTTGTTTGGGTTCTCGTAAATAACCTAACAAAAACTTAATTTTCGGCAAAAAGACGAAGTCTATTGCCGTTGAGCATGTGGTAGGGTGCAGGGATAACTACACTTATATGCTTTGCATTCTTTTATCTGGCACTGCACTCACGTGCAGTTTATGTTTTCAATAGACAAAAATGAATGCTCAGCTTGCGAAACATCTCTGAGTTGTCTTGACAATTTCGTTCGCGCACTGCGTTTTTTGCACTTGCAAGCGTTTCACGTCTTATCATCACAGGCGCTGCAGCTGCTGCCGTTGCCGACGCGCGTTTGCGACATCCATCAGTTCCTGGAGAAGGTTCTGCAGGAGAGGGCGTCGCACAAGCGGCGGGGCCAAATCCTCAGAAGTCTCCTCAGCGCAGAGCATCTACAGGTGAGAGTGAGGGAAGATTTTCACATCAGCGCTTCACCTTAATTTGTGCAGTGCACGGGTGTATCGACGGATAAGCTTAGCATTTCTTCATTCGATTTCTACAATCAGTTGTTTAATCGAAGTTTCTTGCACACGTTTTTATATGAATTTCACCTCATTCTGGTAGTACATTCTCGCCATTGTATATGTGAATGGGCATCCGTGTGTTTTTGCATATGCGTGTGTGTGTATTGTATGTATGTGTTTATACTGTACATGTGTTATTTACTGTTCGTGTGACAGGTTCAGGAGCAGATTATATTTCACCAAGCTCACAAAATTGTGATCACAGATGAAAATATATGTAGAGTATGCAAGAAGAAAATTGGTAACAGGTACGCAATTGCAGAAATTGTGAATTTGTGCGTGTTCCATGTATTCTTTGAGTTTTTGAAGAATTTTCTCAAGTGCCTGTAAATTAACTCTTAATTGATAACTGTCTATAAACATGAATTTAGTTTTAATGTTTACAAAAATTTTCCATCACGTTCTGTAAGAACGCGCGAATTAGTGTTATCCTGTCTGCACTGATGATTTATCATTAATGCTGTTGGCTTTGTTTTTGCTTTAGTGCCTTTGCCAGATATCCGAATGGTGTGCTGGTTCATTACTACTGCTGCAAGGATGTCAAGATCTGTCCAGTAGAATTGTGAGGCTACGTTTAGTGTGCAAGCGCGTAAAACCACGTCGGGCATTCACGCAACTCTATTCTGCTATACATAAATTAATAGACGAAGCTAGCTTTACCATTCCAAATCGTTAAGGTGGTAATACCTTACAATCTTTCAGTGTCTGCTATTAGTTTCAGTTCAAGTAATGTATTATTCATCTTACATATTAATTTTTGCACGTATATAATAGATTGCTCACGTTGTAAATAATTAACTATTACACAAGCTCAGTCTGTAGCACTGGAAGCAAAACCTAATTAGTGTTACTTGTGGCATCTCTGTGACAGGCAGCATATGCAACAGCAGCTATAACAAAAACTTCAAATTCCTTTGACTTGTGCTTAATTTTTGTGGAGGATAATTGGGATATGGCAAATTCATTTTTTATAATGAGTAGTGAACAACACGAATTGGTATAGAGCATAAATTCAAACCTGATGTAGATACTAATAGTGCTGAAAGCTACACTAATGTGTACTCTTAATTATAAGCAAAACTAATTAAGAATTCTGCTTGTAACTATACTCATAACTATTATACACAATAGAAATCACCTACGAAAACTTCACAGTTCAGCACAGTCACAATATGATTTCACAGTTTTGTGTTTCGTGTGGCTAAATTTTTCATAGATGAAACATAATGACATAGTAAGCACAGATGTATTTAATCTCTGTTTATGCCTAAAATGAAAGGAATGTCCAGGCAATGATAATTTTATTTCGTTCAATAATTCATGTGATGTGCACACTTGATAGCTTAGTAGGTGAAAGTTACTCTACTAGCGTGCGCATTTTTGTATGTGAAATAATACATCATATCAGGATATGTAGATGGGAAACATAACATTTAGAGCTTCGAATTATTGAGGGGTAAACTGTAAATAGTTCTTGTTGCATATCTAGATTATGGTTATCAATGCGTTTGCGAGAGAGTGTGTTAATTGTCGCATTGATGCGTTCGCCCGCGTTCGTGTGATAATGACCGATTCGTGATAATACTAGATAATTGTCAAAGCGTGTCAGCTTCGCGGTAGGATATATGCTCTAACTGTCGCGTGCATTCACCCGCCTGCTCAATGCTTGTGTGTGTGCGTCTGCGCGCGCACGTGCGTGTGTGTATCAAAGATCGGTAGTAATAAGGGTAGTAACGGGAGTAATCGGGAGTATAAGCTGCAATTTTAGCAACGATTGTAAGCCTCTCAGAGGCAGGAAAGGTGCATTGTGTTGGCAGTAGCCTGCAGCTATCCGTGTCCTCCATTCATCCCCCTCATCGGGCGAAAGAGCCTCGACGCAGTGCGCAGCAGTGCCTCCGTGGAAAACAGTTTTGCGGGGAAGGACGCGCGTCGGTCTATACATGCAGATTTTTGTCAGCCGCCGCGAAAAGTGCGCGATTTTGATTGTACGTCCTGATAGATTATGTAAATACTGATATCTGAAAGCGACTCAGGTTTTTGCCGGGGGATGCTTTGGTGTGCACGCTCGCTGTCAGGGAGACTATAATGCGAAGTGTTCGTTATGCGAGAATTGAATAGGATGGATGCTAAAAATATGTGCAGTATCGCGCGGACAGCTTTTTATGAAGCCAGAGTTATTGACAGGAAATCGCGTGTATGGCCTTAGCTTGAGTGGTATCGCAAAACGGGGTGTTGTGCGGTTTGACCAGGAAGCTGTGTAATTGCAGGGAAGGGGTGTTGTAGAAGGACCTGTGTGTTGATGCGGTAAGGTGTATTGTTACGGGAGAGGTGTGTTGCGGGAGAGATGTTTTATTACAGGGAAGGTATGTTGTAGCAGGAGAGGTATGTTGTATCATATAGATATGTTGGTGCACGCGTTAGTGCACACGCAGACTGCACGCACGCGCGCAAATCTGACCGCCCGTCTGCGTGCACACACACACATACACGCACGCACGCACGCACGCACGCACGCGCGCACACACACACACACACACACAAGCACACACACACACACACACACACACACACACGCGCGCGCGCGCGCGCACGCACGCACATTATAATTTTATTGAATGCTTACTAAACACTGATAGCGAGAGTTTGCATTTTAGAATGCTGCAAGCTGAAGCATGCCTTTTAGCATGGTTAAGAGCAGAAGCTTGCATTTTAAAGTGCATTGTTCGGCACGTTTCCTTGGGCGATCAGCGTGTGAAATTCTCTGCGCGTTAGTGCAGTGAGTGATTTCCACGTGAACGCCCGAATACGAACACGTATAAGAGTACAAAGCTTGCGTGTGCTGCCGTTTCTAATCAATAATAAATCGTGTACATAGCGGTCTAATGCAAATCAGGGAGGAAGCGGGAAAAAGCGGCCGGAAGTTTTGTTAGTATTAAAATACGTGTGCCGATATCATTAAGCATTCATGAGCATTGTGTGGAAATCTGCGATGTGCTTTAATTTGATACTGTGTTTAGTGTACATGACAATGGCAATATTGTTTCGTTTGTATATACACTGTATAGCTATTTTTAATGATTATATATACGGCTTTTTTCATTTGTATATAAAAGATTATCCACACATATCCTTCGTTATATTTATTTGAAATTAGGCGTTTAATAAATATATTATTATATTGCCAAACATTCGTTTATATCCCATTTACTGCTATCATGTAATCAGATAGATTCAACTAAATTGTGGTAATGAAATATTCTCATTTGTGACATTTCGAGTTAATGTACTGTACATTTCTATCAGTACAGGTATCGTTGCTAAGTTTTCGACATTCTTCTACAGATATGACAAATTTACAGTCCTCGGATAGGTTTCTCAGTCTGTAACCCAATTAAATCAATAAATTGTCTTTCGTTTTATATACACACAGACCTTATTGTAATCAATACTTATACACATATATAGGTACCAATGTGGAATAATAGGAAAAATACGAAAAATACCTGTCTAGACAATCGGGGTATAAATTTTTAAACGAACACTACTTATAAGCTAAAACATCCCCCTACAATAGCAGTGTAACTAGAATTCATTGTGATCAATTGCATAAATTATAAGCTACACTGAAACTGATTTACGGAATATCAAGAGTAGATAATAACACATGTGTTATTATCTACTCTTGGGAATATATAGATACGAATATTCACGCAAAACTTAAAGTGGATATGTACTGGGTTATGCGATCGCTTGTCATGATTATAACTGTATATGCAAAGCCGCAAAGTAAGCTGATGTGAAACACGATACAAGTGATGGTAGGGCTATATATAATATATATAATCGATAGTTATGATAATGAAATCCCAAGCAATGTAGGCCCTACATGTATATTTTTTATCAAAACCATGATCAGCTACAATATTCAATGTGTTGAGATTCTCTTGTGTTGCTGGATTGGATGCTTGCGCCATAGATCCGCAGCGGGACAGAGCTGTGTGCATTTATCTTGCACTAACAGCGTATCGTGGAAATATGCTGGTGGTACTCATCGCAGCATCCCATCCCATAATAGTCGCGATCTATATTTTGTCTCAATGCGCTCCCCAAACGGGTTTATACGGAAAATGTACATGTTATATAATGATAATCTTTCCTAATAACATGCTAGCATATATTTCTGTACAAATAAATATTTAGTTTAACAATAATAATTGTATATTACATCAAAAGTACAAGACGCGAACATGGGCGTGGGAAAAGTAAACCCTGTGTACTTATACGCTGCGTTCCGTCAGGCGTTAGGTTCCCGATACGTATTGAGCATGCACCATCAAAAGAAAGTTCAATGACTTGACAAAGTGAAAAGAAAATAAGGACAGCATCAATACAGCAACAACACCTTTTTCGAGATCAGAACTTCCATTATCTCAGGGTAAGAATTAAAAACCGATAGGATTCGTAGTGAAACTGGTGTGAAACGGCGGCGTGGGAGTGGCCCACATCGTCTGCCACTGTCCACGCCATGTCAACAATCAGACGCCGAGCCACGAAGGACAGCGGGCGTTGATATCCTGAATTTTCTCGCCGTCGGCACCGTGTTCTGTTACGCGATCGCTTTGTTTCAGTTTTATTTATTATATACGCGTTACGGACGAAATAGCTGTCGTACTAGATTCCTAACGTACGTGGCCGGTAAGTACATTTATTTATACTAATTTGGCGTGGCTACGGGAGTGCCGAGTGGCGAGTCTTGAGGAGGTCTGATGCCGCCCTTCACACGGCATGGGCGTGAACAGTTGCCGGTGGTACATAAGCGATCTCTAATTGTCATTGACTGTTGGCATTGTAACTTAAAATCAGGATAGCCCTACAGATGTTGTTGACTGTTTATTTAAAATAGGCAATAGTATTTTCGGTTTTCAAAGGAAAATATTTTATTGAGTCCAGTCAGACCTCACCTCACCTGCCCAAAGATAGCTGGGTACGCGGCATAATACGTCCAAGCTGTCAAATGTTATAGCAAGTTACCTGGTTGTTGACTTGGCAGACTTGATAGTAGATACTGCAATCAGTTTTATGACCATTGTTTAGGAAAATTTCCCAACGTTTGCCCTGTTTGGTACCGTAATGGTTTTCGGCAGTAAAACCTGGCTTACCCATTAATTACGGCATTAGTTTTCGTGTGTATACTCGGTATAGTCTGTACAAGATGGCCACAAATCACAGGATAGTAAGGGGATGAAATGCATTCGTGGGTGGATGAAAGTGAGAGCGTGCTTAACACCTCTTCTTGCCCCTAATTGAAAGTTATGTTTGAAGTTTGAAAGCTAAGAAATCAATACTGTTTAATATTAAAATCACAAGTCAACTAAGCATGTGATGCTCTGTAAACGAGGCATTGCAAACTTTATATGAATTCCCCACGTGCTAATTATCCACATTATAATTTATGTGACCAAGCTGTTACACTCATCGGAATATAAGGTCGGATGTTTATACTTATAGTCGATTCTGTCGTGTACGGCATGCCACAAGCATTCTTCATTGTGGAGACGAGGGAGTAATATATCATTTACCTGACTCCTCGGTAGTGTGAGGCTGTGAGCTGCCTCTTGTAGCAGACAGGCAGCATGGCTTCATGCTGGGGTCAGTTCCAGGTGGGGTTGTTGACGATTGGTTAGTCTGCCTGTATACAGCTATCGAGACGTGATTGAAAAACGGACCAATATCCGCCCGAGCATTTGTAGCGGTGCGATAAATATTTAAACAGCAATTTGTACGGTATGTGTGTGTGATGTAATATAGACCAAATGGTGACAAGCAAATATCATCTTCAACTTACACGTGCGTATGCGTCCACACACATTGATGCTTTTTAGTGATGCTGTGGGTGTTGTATATCGCATTGAGAAAAATTGCCTGTAGAGCAACACATGTATATTTTACAGTATCTGGTGCTGCTGAGGTAGGGTGGTGGTGTAGATGGCTGTAGAACTGGCTGTGTAGCACTGGGAGCCTCTACAACCAATATCAGATATCACAGCTGTGAATCAGTGTAGCTAGCTAGCTAGGCCAAGCACACATGTACAGCATAGGACTGACGTGATGAGCTAGACAGTTGATGACTACTGTAAATGCGCCGAGAAGTTGAAGTAAAATTAAGGAATGATTTTCTGGGTAGCATCTGCATTTGTTTGATAGGATTATTCTAATAAGCAGTCACGTACACATGCATGTTGCATTCGCTTCGTGTGGCGCGTTTTTATACACGGTTAAAACAATTCACCAGCTAAAAAATTAATGGTTAAAGTACAAATAGTCTCTGCGTAATTGCTGCATCGTTTTGGCATCCGATTGTTCTGAAACTGTGCTGGCATGTTTAATTCTTCTGCAACCCTAAGCTTGACTCCGTTCTCGCTCCCAGCTTACCCAACGTTATAATCGTTAGAAGGGCCTTCAACCTCTCTGACGAGCAATTTACAAAATCGAACAACCGCCGTCGAAATCCCTTGGAGAAATACCCACTTTATCAGTTTTCTCGAACGGATTTTGCATGTAATTGGTTATCCTCGTTAGTGATTTCTCCGACCGTTAGTAATGGCAGCTGCGTGGTCCCGTCGCTTCGGCCTTTTGTGCAACAAAAGTTTAGGATTTATGAATACCCGTGAAGCCCTTTCACAAGATGGGTCGCCACAGTAACGTGTACTGCCGTGTCGCACGCAGCGGTGATCGCGCTCGCACTCACAGCAAGAATGAGATCTGCGATCGGAATGTGCGCGGGACGGGCCATGTGTGAGGAATAGTGAGTGCAACTGCCTGCGTGTGCGTGGTGGGGGGTGATGCTGAGTGCGATCGAATACCAGTTTTAACTCGGCAGGGGAGAAGTGGGATTCGTGCTAAACATTTGCAGTCAGTCAGTGAGAATTCTCATCTCATGTCTCGCCCGTCGCTTGTCGCTGGCTGGATACATGTATGCAGTGGGCAGTATACAGGTATATATATATCAGTGCTGCCACTTTAGACTTTTTTTAAGAAAATATACTTTTTATACTTTTTTCATGCATAAATACTTTTAAATACTTTTTTTTGCCAAAGATGGTCAAAACTCTTCGGACTTACATTTAGCCTTAGGTACACTGTATTTGATGAGATTAAAAATGTGCTTTGCTAGTCTTGTTGCAGGAGTGATGTGTGCTTTGTTCAGTTGAGTGTCCTGTCAGTGACCAAATGACAGACCATTGCATTGTTTCCCCTGCATTGACATGAGCGAAGCGGGCCGCATCGCTCAAATTCTCAGCCGCCACACAGAAATTTTTCCAAAACACTGCCTCGCTGACGAAACTTTTGATAACTTGAAAAAGAGATTCAAGAGTCATACAATGTGTCCAGAATAGCTTAGAATGCACCAAATTGCACCGTTTTGGTGGCCACCTCCCTAGCTGGCCAAAAACATGCACTGCTCAGTGTGCTAGGACCTCGCAACACACAAATACACCACAAAAAAATTTACTGCCTTAGCACAGCATTGAAATATTCCAAACTGAGAGTTCAAGAGACAACTCCTCATGACATTGCACACGTCATTCCTGAAGCTTGTTTACATGCTGCACATAGGCTATAATGTATTCGGTAATAAGGTATAAGGTAACAAATCATGGTAGGTTCATACAAATTTATACTTTTTTAAATACTTTTTTAGGCAATTTTGATACTTTTTTTCTGGACAGATTTGATATTTTTTAGCTCATCTGATATAGTCAGATGCAGCTTGTAGAATTGCATGAGCGTGCGTCCGTCCGGCCGTGCGTGCGTCCGTCAACAGCCATTACTCCTGGCATATCCTGAGTGGCAGCACTGATATATATATATGTATATATTTGCAGCAGCCTGTAGTCTGTTATGTTTTTGACGACGGGTGGTCCGAATTTAACCTAGGTGTGTGGATCGGCTGTGTGACTGAGTGATCCCATAGGCGGCAGGTAGCAGGACATCCATGTCGTAACGTGTGCGTAGAGGTGTTTAGTTGTTGTTTTTGTCTGTCGTTTGAACGTCTGGTTCTGTTTAGATTCTTGCGCGGTTGTCTTTACATGAGCAAATGTTTGAATTTCATTTTGCATTACATTAATGCGTAATGCTAATAATGAGTCATCCTCAGTCTGCCTCTGTGTCCCCCCTCTGTTTTCCTCTCTCTGTCTCGCTCACATTCTAATCTGTCTGTGTCTGTCTGTCTCTTTCTCTCAATCACATTCTAATCGGTCTATGTCTGTCTGTCTCTCGCTCTTCCACTCTATATATAGTCATTTGATTCAAGAGAACATGGGTCTATTTATGAACATAGGCGAGGTTTCTCGTGAGTGCTACGTCGTCGCGATAACCGTTCGTGCAGATGTGGGCCGTTGACTAGGTGGGTTAGTTAGACTTATAGTTATAATCGTAAAATAAAACATGGTGAGAACGCGATCACTTTTCTCGGATCGCCGTGCCATGTGGTTGCACGAATCCGCTCTCGGCCGAGTCCGGCTGATGCAGCGCTAAATGCGCGTGCTTTCCTCCCCCTCCCCGCCTAGCGTGGTGCGGGCCACGCCCCGGCAGCCACGAATTTTTGAAGTCTCGGCGAGGACCCGTCTGCATAATATACTGTACGCGCGCGCGCTGACGATGCTTCATTTTGTTTTCGTCGGGGAAACTAATCAATTCGGCGAGCGTCTCTCGAGGCAGCTGGGGAAAAATTGAAGCCCACCGTCGTTTGCCGCGGCGGCGGCGATGAGAATGCGGCTGGCTGCTCGGAGGCGGCGGCTGCGGCTCCTCGCATGCGCGCGGGGATGCTCTCGTGAAAGTACAGTAGTAGTTCGCATTTGGGCGAAATCAGTGGCTTGTGTATCGCCTTACAGAATAAATAAACTCGCTCGGCTCCGTCCACCACTCCGGCCAGTGTGGCTAGCCCCGGGATGCTGCGGCGGCGATTGACGGTTGCCGTACCTAAATCACGAAGCCACGCGCGTTTACTCCCGGCGGCAGTCGTCTTGATAAGCTGTTTAGCATGTTGGCTTCTCTGAAAACCCTGCAGGAAACTGGCAGCTCGGGAAAATTTCAGTGGCTAGTCGGCAAGCTGAAACTTGTTAGGTATCGTTAAGGACGTGTACGTGTAGTCACAGTGTTTAGAACTTTAGGCGTCATCTGCGAGTCAGCAACAATAGTAAACGCTGGTCCTAGGGGCAATTTCAGTGGCTAGTCACCCAACTAGAATTTCTTCGGTGTCATTAGGGACGTGTACATGTAGTCTGCCACAGTATTCTGGTGTCCTCTGTGTGCCACTATGTACAGGTCAGCTTTACTAGTAAATGTCGGTGTAGCTCTCAGTCTGCAGTTTCTTTTCCATTAACCGTTCCATCTCTGCTCACATAAACCTCCCCGTACAGACGAAATTCGCTT